TATATAGGACAATCCACCGGTCGCATTGAATACAACCCGATATTCGATAAAACCACTGAAGGAGGAGATAAACCTTGTGCTCTGTCAAAATAGCTGGTCATAAATAGAGGTCAGCCGGATATATGTCCAGTAAGGCTATTCAAAAAATTTATGGAAAAAAGAAAATTAATTAATGTTTCAAGATTGTTCTTAACTGTAAATCCTTCCTGGAAAATGGGTAAAATACGATTGCTCTATTGCTATAATCAAGAACCTTCCTGTTGGGATTGCTCAATGGGTGTCTATCGAAGGGAAAAAATCAGGTTTGGCTACGGAGAAAGTAAACATTACTAATCATTCGCTACGTGCAACAGCTGTGTCGACACTAGCAAAGAAGGGGGTTGAGGAGAACATAATAGTCAAAACTGGGCACGCAAACCCGAAGTCAATTAAACCTTACCTTCAACTCAAATGCAAATAATATATGCTACAATAAAAAAAATAATATATGCAAATAAAACTGCTACAAGTTCTAATAATAATACTAATAATGTTTTCGTACCTACTATAGGTTCTTTTAATTTCAATTCAAAAATTCGGCATCTTTAAATTCAACACCTTCAAGTACCGCAACGGAATCTAAACATAATAATTTTTATAACTGTGTTTTTCACTGCAATTCTTCATGTAATTTTTAATTTCTAATATTATAAGTTCTGTTTCATTTTATTGCTTCATTTTTAAATAGATTTTTTTTAATATGTTCAAATCGAAGTTCAAATAAATGTTTTTAAAAAATCTATGTATTTTCATGTTATTTATTCGGGAAATATTCTACCGAATTACTCTTGCATCAAAATATACCTGATAATTTTTCATTTAAGCATGTTGTCAATAAGCCCTCCTCTTTCGGAGTCGGGCTCTTATGGCAAAATATGAATATAAACTCATGCAGTTTTTAGACAACATGCTTTCATGAAAAAGTATCGGTAATTTTGATGCACTTGGGTAATTACTTCCGAAAATAAGCGCAGTAGGTGATACCCGGACACTCAAAGACAAGTGAAGGTGACCAGATGGTATTGCGTAAGCTGTGCCAGTACTCTCGTGTCAGATACTTTCCACAAAGCCAGTCACCACCATAATATTACAATTATTTTAAAGACGTCTGTCATTTATTAGTTTTTTTTTATATGCATTTAGAAATGTATCGGTTAAGTAATGTAGAAACTGCATAAAATTATAGAAACATTATTACCAATTAAAACAGCGACGAAGTTTAATTGAAGATTAAAGAAACAAGAATTCAAGATACGGTACCAAGCGTGATTTATAGTCTTGACGGTCATTGATAGAAACTTTGAATGGCTCAAGCGGCTGAACGCTTAGCGCTTGATAAACCAAAGCAATTTCGATAAAGCATCGCTTGACGGTTAGATACTCCATTTTGATAAAATGGTCAAACAAGGCTCATCAAAGTCATCCATAGGACCAGAAGCCTTCTGCGGCGTTGCAAAAGCAGTAACGAGAATGGGCACAAAACGATGGGTGGCCAACAAATCTCTAGAATAGTGGAGAAATTCAACAGCGAAATGCGAAAAAATTCACAGAACATTCGCCAAATATCACGGCTGACCTGATAAGCAAAGACAGTCAAAGCTGTAGTGGGTCTACTAACAGGACACTGTAAGCTGAATAGGAATCTAAAGCTAACGGAAATGTTAGATAAAGTCATGTGCAGGTTCTGTCAATCTGAAGAAGAAACGACCAAACACATTTTATCTGGGTGCGACAGCCTGGCAAATATGCGTTTCTCGGTAATAGGAATTGATAGGCCAAGGACAGAGGAAATAGACATTGATAGGCCAATGAATATGGAGGGTTCAGTCTCCATATTGCTAGGTTTTTTGAAAAGGATAAGACTGGAGAATATAACCAAAGGATCAGAAAAGAATCGCAATAGATCAAAAGGTCGCAGTGGATCAGATCTAGAAAAATCTAATCTAATCTAAGCTACCACATTATGATGCAAAATATTTGTATTGTAGGAATCTCTTTACGTTGTTTTGTACCCATTTTTTGTATTTTATGCCATATAAACTCTAAAATGAGTAATCATTTTAGAGTTTATAGGCCTCTACGGAATGCTCTTGGTCGATTCTAAATACTTCTGAAAATTTTCCATAGACATATCATTAATAATTTTCGTCACCGAAGCAGTTACTTAATATATAGGACCCCTTCGAGCAATGTTGTTTTTATTGAAGTTTTTTTCATTTGAGAATAAATTCTAAAAATTCTCAAAATAAAAATTCTCAAAATAAAAACACTAAATCACCACAATACACCAAAACACTTTTACTTTTACACTGGACGCGCGTTTCGCTAACCATGTTAGCATCATCAGCAGATGATTATAAACTAAAGTACAATCTACAAGTTGAGCGTTTATATACTCGCTCAGTGGGCACCGAGTGGGCGTAGCAAAATCTAGCCAACCGAGTCAGATCCCACTGAGCGTAACAGTTAGATTTCCGCCACTAGAGTAGTAGGAACAAAGAACTTGAAGGAATTGGACCGTTGACTCTGTTCATACAATCTTTACATTTATTAATTCTGATGCTTTCATATGCATCTAATTGCCTGTAATTTGAGACTTGTTTAATTAATTTTAAATTATTAAGATCTATACAATGTTCTTTATCAACAATATGTTCGACAACGCAAGATTTATCCGGTCTACCATATCTTATCTGAGCTAAATGTTCTTTAAATCTAGTTAATATTGATCTTCTAGTTTGCACAACATATTTCTGATTACAATCTTTACAAGAAATTTCATAAATACCCGACCTTTCCAGTGGAGGTGTTTTATCTTTTGGATTACCTAATAATTGTTGTAATTTATTATTAGCACTATACACAAGTTTATAATTGACATTTTTAAAAATTCCTTTTAGACCACGGGATAACTCTCTATCAAACGGTATCGAAAAATATTTAGACGTATCTTTCTCCACTTGAAAAGTCGAATTTTCAGAAATCATTAACCTATACCTACGTTTTCTAATTAATTTATCAACTAGTGACGGAGAATATCCATTACACTCAGCTACATTCCTAATGTAATCTCTTTCTATTTCATATCTTTCGTTGGAAAGTGGGAAACTAAGTAATCTATGAACTAAGAAATTTAAACTAGCCATTTTATGTTCAACACTATGATGTGAAAAGTGTGTCTAAAAGAATGTAACACCCTTATTGATCTTCCTTTAAAGAGGAAATTGCAAGTATCCAATCCCTCATTACCAAAATTGTATGCTTTGCCAAAAATTCATAAACCGGACAAGTCTATGCGCCCAATTGTTTCGGCTGTAGGTTCTCCGACTTATAATTTGGCAAAATGGTTATCAAGGGAGTTCGAAGATTTACCTGATTATGAACCTTCTTTCTCAGTTAAAAATAATATTGAATTCATTAACAAAATTAAAGATATAACATTGAATGAAGGTGAAATTTTGGTCTCCTTTGTTGTTCCCAAGTGTTCCAATTCCATATACTTTAGGCTACTTGAAGGAATTACTGAACGCAAATGGTCTCGTCACTGTGAGTGAATATATTGAGCTTACATCGTTATGTATGAAACAGAATTGTTTTCAATTTAATAACAATTTTTTTGAACAGCGGGAAGGTACAGCAATGGGTAATCCATTGTCTCCATTTTTGGCTAATTTATTCATGAGCAGGTTTGAAGTGGAGGCTAAGAATCAGTTTGAGTATTTTCCAAGAGTATGGTTTAGGTATGTGGATGATATTTTTGCTGTTATTGACACACATTCAGACACCATAGGTAATTTTATTTCTAAGTTAAATAATCGTTTTCCTTCCTTTAAATTTACGTATGAAATTGAGAACAACGATAGATTACCATTTCTAGATGTATTAGTTATTAGAAATACTAATAATTGCCTGAAATTTGATATCTATAGTAAAAATACGACCACACGCAGATATATTCCTAATAAATCACATCATAGTGTTGAACATAAAATGACTAGTTTAAATTTCTTAGTTCATAGATTACTTAGTTTCCCACTTTCCAACGAAAGATATGAAATAGAAAGAGATTACATTTGGAATGTAGCTGAGTGTAATGGATATTCTCCGTCACTAGTTGATAAATTAATTAGAAAACGTAGGTATAGGTTAATGATTTCTGAAAATTCGACTTTTCAAGTGGAGAAAGATACGTCTAAATATTTTTCGATACCGTTTGATAGAGAGTTATCCCGTGGTCTAAAAGGAATTTTTAAAAATGTCAATTATAAACTTGTGTATAGTGCTAATAATAAATTACAACAATTATTAGGTAATCCAAAAGATAAAACACCTCCACTGGAAAGGTCGGGTATTTATGAAATTTCTTGTAAAGATTGTAATCAGAAATATGTTGTGCAAACTAGAAGATCAATATTAACTAGATTTAAAGAACATTTAGCTCAGATAAGATATGGTAGACCGGATAAATCTTGCGTTGCCGAACATATTGTTGATAAAGAACATTGTATAGATCTTAATAATTTAAAATTAATTAAACAAGTCTCAAATTACAGGCAATTAGATGCATATGAAAGCATCAGAATTAATAAATGTAAAGATAGTATGAACAGAGTCAACGGTCCAATTCCTTCAAGTTCTTTGTTCCTACAACTCTAGTGGCGGAAATCTAACTGTTACGCTCAGTGGGATCTGACTCGGTTGGCTAGATTTTGCCACGCCCACTCGGTGCCCACTGAGCGAGTATATAAACGCTCAACTTGTAGATTGTACTTTAGTTTATAATCATCTGCTGATGATGCTAACATGGTTAGCGAAACGCGCGTCCAGTGTAAAAGTAAAAGTGTTTTGGTGTCTTGTGGTGATTTAGTGTTTTCATTTATATTTAATATTAATCACATTTAATTTTCGTTTATAAAAAAGTTTAATATTTGATTATATCTATTAATAATATGTAATTCTAGGGTGCAGTGATCTACGCCAGCTGGATATGGAATTAGAAATGAACAATCCGAAAACAATTGATAATTAGGTTATAAATAAGTATTCCATCCTATTTATTATTTTACTTCAACATTTAATCTGTTTAAAAAATAACTGTTAATAAAAGCACTTTGTAATATATCTAATTTATTTAAATATATACTTTTGCTCCCAGGTTTTCAGTCACTCTAAACAATTGTTCGGCGCTATTTAAATGTGTTCGGCCCAGTGTCCATTTCCGGATGTTCTTCAACCAGGAGGTTTGTTTTCTTCCTACGCCCCTGCGGCTCTATGCTAGCTTTACGGAACTATTTGCCACTTTGTAACTGCATTTTACTTCCGACTTGTTTTTAAATCACTCAAATATTTCTATTTTAATACAATGTTCCCGTCGTAATGTGCCCGCTTTCTATTATCTAGCTCAAAAGCTGATAACACTCTTGGCCTTGTTTTTCGCCAGCTGAAGACACCCCCACTATAACAGAAAAAATACCTATTTCTCCTTGTTCCAGCTGCTTAAAGCAGAAACAATTGGCTGAAAGTTTGTGTCTTTATAGTAAATGTCATGAAAAGCTTCATATTCTCATTATTTCACTACGTTGACCATGCTCATTCGACTAGACAAGTGCATTATTTTAGAATTCCTCAACACCGAACAGCTAACTTATGGAATAGTATTTCTAATAATGTGGAATAATTCTTCTAATAACTTTAAATTTCAATCCTTTACAGATTATAAGAAACAAATTAAAAAACATTTACTAAATTCGTAAAAATTATAATTTCTTTGACTGATTTGTGAGGTTCTTGTTCTTCTGACACGCCCGTCATTGGTTGCTGTTCCGGATTTTACACTGTTTCGTTATGCCTCTCTGTTTATCTCCGCTCATCCCTGATAAAATTATATTTTCACTTTTTTTAATCTAATTTGTGTTTATTTTTATAACTTAATTTATTTCTATTTTGTTTTTGGGGTCGCATCACTCTGGCACTTTGTGTCTTTTTTGTATCGGTTTTTTAATCGGTGCGATCCCTTTAGACACACATTATTTTTTAAGAATAATTATTAATCTGTAAAACGTAATGAAGTCTAATAAAAAAATTGAATTTGAATTTAAATATTATAACCAAAATACAGGAGAGTTCCCAGTTTTTATTTCTCTCCACTAAAACTCAATAATATATTAGTCATATATCTTATTTAAATTTCACCCATTTTCGTCACATTTACAATCGGGTTTATTAAACACATTTTTGCAATCCTACAGACTAGTTATTTCCCATATCTATTCTTGCTGTATAGTGGGGACAAAAATGTGTCACTATGCATTTTATATGCTTCTATTAATATTTTTATAGAGCATCAGCCAAATTAATTGATTACTTCTACTTCTTACTTCTAACTTACTATTGACTGAAGGATTAGTTCTACTTCTGGATATAAATTATTTTTTCGTTAGCACTGTGTCGGGATACTGAATTAACTACTCTACCTATACATATTATGCTGTGCGGAAAAATCAATATTCATATTTTCATAATTTACAAAACATGCATGATTGTTTGTTGTTATTTCATTCAATGTTCCTAACAAGGAACAATAGCCGCATGATAAAATTTAAATGTTACTTTTTAGGACCTTTTTGTGACTTTTTAGCTCTTTAGCTTTTAGCACTCTATTTGCTCAACAATATCAATTTTATTTATATTTATGGAAATATATGTCGGTGGATGCCATTTATCTGAAGAATTTTAAAATATTATCCTGAACTGTTAATCTTTAACAAGATTTGACAATCTCATTTTCGCAGTTCAACGTTTTAGAGTGATATTTTATGTTTCTTATAATTATCTAAAGGTATATCCTATCTAAAGGTGCCCGGTGGCGTAGAGGTACAAGCTCTCGTCTACCAATCTCAGTGCACGGCCACACAGAAAGCGTTTTTTGCGTTTTTAGCATGAAGCGTGTTTTGCGTCTAAAACAAAATAACAGGATTATACATATAGGAGTGGCCCCACCAAAAGCGTCTAGCGTTCGGCGTGTCTCGCAAAAAACGCAAATGAAAACAAATCAATTTGTTTTCTGTAGCGTTTTCTATTAGACCCCGTCATAGGCGGACGTAATATTTAATAATACGATAACAATAAATTAAATATTATATGCATTTTTTTCATTTTAGAGTATTATCTAAAAATATTTTTATAGAGAACATATTATACTGTTTTAGGAAGATTCTATTAAATTCAAAAATTTGAAGGAAATGTTTGAAAAAGTGTAGTTTGAAATGTTGAAAAAGTAATAAATTAAAGGAATATTTTTTTACGCGTAAAAAATTGTTTTTTATGCGTAAAATGGTCTTTTTTACGCGTAACAAATAGTTATGTACGCGTAACAAATAGTTTTTTACGAGTAACAAATAGTTTTATACGTGTACAAAATAGTTTTCTAGCTGCAAAAAATAGATTTTTGTGCTTAAAAAATATTTTTTTTTGCGTAAAAATATTTCTTTACCGGTAGCGAGTAGTGTTTTACGAGTAAAAAATAGTTTTTTTACGTGTAACAAATAGTTTTTTACACGTTAAAATATTTTTTTAACGTAAAAAAAGTTTTTTTTATCAGAAACAATAAGTTTTTGACGCGTCAAATATAGTTTTTTTACGTGTAACAAATAGTGTTTAACATGTAAAAAATAGTTTTTTTGCGCAAAAATGGTTTTCTACCAATAACAAACAGTTTTATACGGACAACAAATAGTTTTTTATGTCTAACAAAAAATTTTTTACGTGTAACAAATAGTTTTTTACGTGTAGCAAATAGATTTTTACACGTAGCAAATAGTTTTATACGCGTAAAAAATACTTTTCTACCAGTAACAAATAGTTATATATACGCGTAAAAATAGTTTTCTACCAGTAACAAATAGTTTTATACGAGTAAAAAATAGTTTTTTACGTGTAACAGTTTCATTCGCGTAAAATAATAAAAATAGTTTTTACGTGTAACAAATAATGGTTTTTACACGTAATAATTTGATGACCATAGTGAAGTTAGTGGCGAATCGGTTAGTCGGTATGGCTCGAAGATGGTATGATTCGCAAGAACAGTTAGCAGTAGATTGGGATAAAATGAAGAAAATGCTGATCAAACAGTTTACAAAGCCTTTACCATTTGCTAAACTACTTCGTGAGGCCGCCTTATACGAAACAAGCGGCGGCCAAGACTTAAGTGAGTACTGTTTTAATAAATTAGACAAGTTAAAGCTTTAAGACTTAACATTCCCGACAATTATCTGGTTGATGCCGTCATTGGGGGAATTACGGACGAAAACATCGCAAGAACTGCTAGATCATCGCGTTTCAAAGATACAAACGAGCTGTATGGATATCTGAGCACTTACCACACTTGCGGAAAATTGCCGCAAAATATTAAAACGGACAGTAGTAAAAGAATGTTTTCTCATGCCGGGCCTGTCAATAGATTAGAAAATAGTCAAAAATCTACTATTCAGTGTATTTAATTGTAATGGACCTCACCGCACGCGTGATTGTCAGTTAAGTTAGAATGTTATAACTGTAAACGCCTTGGGCATAAACAAAATAAATGTCCAAATAAAAATGTCAAAGAGCAAGGCAAAAGTAGTGTCAGTTAGTTTATGGTTTTGAATGTATTGTAGGTTACGTTGAACAACAAGAAAAATAAGTGCTACCGGTAATTCATGTACTCGTCGGTGAACTCTGTCTGATAAGTGCAACGTAGAAAGTAATTGTAGTTAGTGACGATCAAATGACTAACGATTACCTATAGGGTCAAGATTCTATAAACTTATTTCAAATGATGTTTTAAAAAGTGGAAACTGATTTTTTGTGCGAGAACTGGCAACGTCGATTAAGCTAATTTGTGGTTTTAAATGTTTGAAGTTCGAGAATGCCATAAAGATGTCACTAAGAATATTGGGTGACGGAAATATCATCATCAAACAGAGAACTCTGTGTCCAAAACTTTTATGTGAATTTCGAGATAGAATTTCGGTGTGCATGTTAGAATTGGAAAAAAACTGATGTGGCAAAAATCGAAGTTAGACTAAATACAAACGAGCCGGTTGTGTATAGACCTAAGGTATAGACCTATCGCTTACAGTTAAATGAAAATTCTTACAAGGCATAATCGACGAATTATTATCAAACAAAATTATCAGAGAATCGACTTCGGCAAAGTTTACAGAATATTTTAATTCTGTAAACTTCGACTTTGGTTTATTCGAGCTCGGTATTATTAGTGAAAAATAAAACCGGAGATTATAGACTCTTATCGAAGGACAGCTGGACCGATTAAGAAAAGACGATTAGGGCATTAAATATAATTATTAATTACACTTGAATTGATGTCTGGATTTTGATGCAACAGGGGCCGGTGTTTTTACTGGGTACTGCAATAATAATTGTGGTCTTCAACGAATACGAGGATTGTGCGAAACTTTTCGATGATTTTACCTTAAGATTAAGTTAAAAGTTTGTTCTTTTATGCGAGTGTTGGTTGTTAAACCTGGACAACGTAAAATTAAAGATGTATTAAAATGGCTGAACCATAAACTGAAAAACAAGTGTGGCAATTTCTTGGGTTGTCCTGCTAATTTCGTAAATTTGTGTATGATTGCTCTCTGGAACTGGATACCAGGAAGAATTTTTAATGGTATTGGAAGGGACCAAGGTCTTACTTATTTATATTGGCTTTTCTGTTGGCTTCCACACCGGAGTTATTTATGTTCAAACATTTGTTGCCGACGGGGCTTTACACGGATCCAAGTTTAACTGCCGTAGGAGCATGAAGGTGTACCGGAAGTGATTGTGAGCCTATTGTAGTGGACAGTTGTTATGGTGCTTGCGTTGCGGAATTTGGTTTGTCTGTTAGGACAGAGTTTCGCTGTGGTCTTGGGTTATTGTGTGCTAAGAGCAGCTTTTTCGAAGAGAAACTTGTTGCCGAGAGTTGGAAGATAGTGTTTGCAGTGATAGTTGTTCGAGAGTTTGTTCTGAACATGGTACACCGTTCTGTAACATATGTGTTGCATGTCGATCTACTTAGTGGGCTACCCGCCGCCGTGTGTGATGTTTTGAATGTAGAATCGATCAATGTTGCGGAAGAGGATTTT